CTGGGGAAGGCGCCCGGGCTGTGGCCCTGCAGCTGGGCACCCCCACCCACCCAGGGCCTGGGGAAGGCGCCCGGGCTGTGGCCCTGCAGCTGGGCGCCCCCACCCACCCAGGGCCTGGGGAGGGCACCTGGGCTGTGGCCCTGCAGCTGGGCACCCGGGCACCCCCACCCACCCAGGGCCCGGGGTACGGCTGGGCCATAGCTGCTCACCAAAGTCCATGCGGTCTTTCGGGCTGCGTTGCAGGAGTGCCAGCAGCAGCTGCCGAAGGGGTGCCGAGGTCTCTCGGGGGATGCTGGGAAGGAAGGCAGACAGGCAGAGCTGAGCTGGGAGAACTGGGGCAACTGGGGCAGGATCAAAAGGGGAACACCGGGGGGAGGCAGAGTGCTTACACAGGGACCAGTGTCTTGTTTTTCTCATAGAACAGTCGCAGGTCCTGAGGACTGCTGGCCTGCAGGGACAACAGCATGAGCCAGCCCCTGCCTCAGCCTGGCACACTGGGCCCACATCCCAGCCAGCTCCACCAGGTCACAGGCAGCCCAGTGCCCGCCCTACACTGTGCCCTCCTGGCCACTGATGGCAGGTCTGGCACAAGGAGGGAAGCAGATACACCATCGAGCTTCATGCCACATAGCCCTTGGGGCCCTCGCCTAGCAAACAGACCAGACCCAGCCCAGAGCCAACAACCTGAGCAGCCCCGTTCCCCTGCCCCAGGCCACAGGCCTTGCCCACCTGAAACGGGGCCTTTCCTGTCAGGCACTGGTAGACGATGGTGCCGATGCTCCACAGGTCTGCCTTCCCGTCGTAGTGCTGTGACATGATGACCTCGGGAGCCTGAGGCCAGAGGATAGGTTGGTGCTGTGTGCACAGCAACCCAGCCAGGTGCCACGGGAGGAGAGCTGGGAGCCCAGGAGGGACATACCATGTACATGGGAGAGCCGCACAGCGTGGCCGCCATCATGTTGCTCTGCAGGTAGCGGGCGAACCCGAAGTCAGCTGCAGAGAGAGAGCACCAGGGCAGTGGCCAGGACGTGGGGGCAGCACGTCCCTGTGGCAGTGCCATTGCCCGGGGCTCACCAATCTTGACGCGAATGTTGTTGGGGTTCGAACGGCGCCCCCCAGAGTTGGACAGCAAGATGTTCTGTGGTTTCAGGTCACGATGAATGATGCCCTTGCTGTGCAGCAGCCGCATGGCACCAGCGATCTGCTGCAGGAAAAGCCTGATGGTGTCCTCGCTCAGGGTCCGCATGGCTGCAGGGAGAAGCAGGTCCAGGGGTGCCCATCATGACCAGCAGGTGGCAGTGCAGCCAGGGACACAAGAGCACAAGGGTATATGGGAGCACCCGTTTTGGGACCTGCTTCTCCCCCACAGGCGTCTACCCTGAAGGCTCAGCAGAGAGCCAGGGTGCCCAGAGTGGGGACAAGAAAGAACCCAGCACGCCAGCAGAGGGAACACTCTCACCCTCAGAGCAGAGAACCAAATCAGCTATGGGAACCTCCACCTGGGGAGCCCTATGTTAGGACACAGGCAGGAGGAGCAGTTGCTCTGCAGCCCCAGGTTAGAAACCACCCCTCCCCGACTCCCCACTCTGGTGCCACACCAGAACACCAGAACAGATGATCCCCCAACTGGGCCCCTCAAACTTTCTGCCCACCCCACCCTGGCACCCTAGTCCTGCAATACCACCATACCTCACTTCCTATGTTCCTATTTGCAGGCATAGGGTACCACCACATCTCCTACACAGCCACCCTCACTACCTATTTTACCCTCCTTGTCTCACCCAGAGCCAAAACCCTGGAAGCAAGCCAACTCCCCTGCAAGGACTTGCACTAGATCCTGGTCTGGGCAGAAGGTGGGCAGGTCCAGCATGGCAGGGCCCCTCCTGTCCATTGCAGGGCACCAGGATACAGAGAGCATACCCCCATCCACCTCCCACGAGCAAGGGCTGCGCTGCCGGCCCTCTGGCCACCACGCTGCCTGCCAAGGTATCACTCACTGTGCAGGTAGTCGGCTAGATCACCACCGTTGCAGTACTGAAGAAAGACAGGGACGGGTGTCCAGGCACAGCCGTGTCTCCAATCCCAGCCCCAGCCCCAGCCCCAGCCCCAGCCCCAGCCCCAGCCCTTCCCACAACACCCTCTTCTGACAAGGTCCAGGCTCACCTCCATGACCAGGTAGACAGAATTGGCCATTTCCTACAGGAAAGAGAAGCTTTAAGGGATGGAGCAAGGGTCACCTCAGATGCCCTCAGCACACCACCCACCTCCTGGGTCTCAGGATACAACTGACACACCAAGCCAGGATTCAGGATTACCACCGGAGGCAGGACCTCCACAACCCAGCCAACTCTGGAGGTGTGTGCTCATCATGTCTTGTGTCTGTTCCAATTGAAATGTGAGCCTGGGCTGGGTGTGGTGACCCAGCACTCAGAGACAGGCAGAATCCTAAACTGAGCCCTGCTTGGGCAGTTTAGTAACCTAATGAGTGTCTATCTCTAAGAAAAAAGGGCTAGAAACGGAGCTCAGTACCAAGGTCCTGGGCTCAATCCGTACTACGGAGCCAAATAAAGGAATCTGCATGTGAGCAACAGAGCAGCAGCCCGCAAGGCGGCCAAGGACTGTGGCTGGTCCAGAGCCCGCGATCTCCAGAACTCCACGCTGCATTCTGTACAGCCTCTCCCAGCCACAGGGCAGCAGCAAGCCCAGGTACTGGCATGGAGGGGCTGGCGCACCTAGGCTGAGCCAGCAGCAGGGCACTTGACCACCAAGCCTGTGCCCCAGCCCGAGGCACCTGTCCTTGCCCTGTTCCTGCCCTGCCTCTGGGCAGTGCACACCTAGCTGAGCAAAGCCCTCCACAGAACCAGGCAACAAGTGAACGCCCAGCACAAACACACACTTTTCAGGATTCACGGAGGCCCAAGCCAGACAAGCTGCCCACCCTGCAAATCCATGTTTAGACAGCGTCTTCTCACCCGCTGCTGGGGCGGCTCTGCCAACAGCAAGCACCAAACCAGCCCTGTGACCACAGTGCACAGGCTGGGCATCTGGGCATCCATGCTTCTTACTCTCCCTCTAGTTTTCCCACACTCCAAGTGGGGTACAGGGGCTCAGAGGCCTGCGGGTGGGCACGCAGCCTGGCATGCAGCAGCCCACCATCAAGTGCAAGCACCTTGCCTGCAACAACGTGCCAGGCACCAGGACCTCCTGCGCCTCTAGGCATTCAACGCCAGGTGGCTGAGGCCATGGCCTGGCAGGTGGGGCTCTCAGCCTAGGGGGAGGCATGGCCCTAGAGGGAAGCCCTGACCTGTCCCACTCACGCCCACTCTTTGCCTGGCCTCCCTGCACCTCTGCCCGCCCGAACCCCACCTTTGAGGGAAGCTGCAGGGCAGAGATAAGCATGTGGCTTGGCTTGGGAGTCCCAGGGCAGGGCTCAGGATGACCAGAATGTGCCAGACTTGGGACAGCAGTCAGGTCCAAGAGAGCCCGGGGACAAGAAATGACAGGTAGAAACACAGAAACAGCTTCAAGGGCCGTAGCACCCACCTAGCCCCCGCCACCTGAAGTCACCAGCATAGGACCTCCAGCACTCGCCAGTGCAGGCCATTCAACCCAGGACAAGTACAGCCAGAGGGTGCAGGGTGGGTCCTGAGCCTGCCATCTTGACAGCAGAGACAGGACTGGAGACACAGCTGTGCCCAGAGGTGGGCTACCTCCCTGAATGGCTGGCTCAGGATGTGGGGACTCACCCCTCCCCCACGGCTCCCTCCTGCGTAAAAGCAAGTTCAGAGAGCCTCAAAGCCCTCACATCCAGCTGTGGGCAGGGTGCTGCTGCATGCACTCCAGCCAGGCTCTGAAGAACACCGCAGGTCCCCCAGCCCGCAGAACCCAGCTCAGGACCCCACGCACTCCCCTCCCACAAGCACAGACAAGCACGATGCAGCCAGGCGACACGCCCAGCTGAGCAGCGGCAGAGCCAGCCGAGGCAGGCCAGCTCACACACCCTCCTCAGCCTCAGCGGCAGAGCCAAGCTAAGGGCTGTCCTCTGGGCTGCAATGCCACCCAGGAGGTTGGCAGGAGCCAGGCCCAGAGCCAGCAGGGCGCTGAGGCGCAGGGGCACTGCCAGGGTCCCATGGCTCTCCAGAGCCCAAAGCTGGGGATGGAAGTACAGCCTCCCTACTCCACCCAGCCTCAGTCCCACCGATGCTGGTGCCAGCTGCCAGCCTTGCTCGGCGAGGGACCACGGGAACAGGGGCCACAGGCGGTGGCGGTGGCAGAAACACCAGGATCTTGCACCACACCAGTCCTCTTCAAAGGGAGCAGGATGGATGTGCAGCCTGGAACATAGACCTGGCCTCTGGCCTCTCAGTGGGCCACCACAGTGACAGGGAACCCTAAGTCCCTCCTGCTCCATCGAGGCTCATGACGAATCAAAGCCTTTGAGGGATAACAACCACTGCCTGGAAGACAGGCCCACCATCCCAAGCACCATGCCAGATAGAAGCCAGCTTCGTGGCAAGGCAGCTGCACAGGTCACCGGAGTGGGCACGGGTGCCCGGGCACGTAGGAGCCTTAAGGTGCTTTGCTTAATAGGATCCTGGCTCCCGCCCTCACCGGCCCACTCCAGTCTGGTGACCCAGTGGGTGGGAACATGGGAAGGTGCTGACCTACTTCCCTCCTCCAGAGCTGCGGCAGCCAAGGGAGGCAAAGCCCAGCCACGGTTAGAGGCACCACCCCACCCTGCTCTTCAGTTGCTGGGAAGGGAAGGAAGGCAGCCTGTCCAGAAGAAAGGAACATCCAGCTCTGGCCTGGAGCATGGTGGCAAGATGTCCCCACAGGTCCCAAGCCCAGCCCCACTGACCCAGAGTGGATCAGGACGACCACCACCACAAGGAGCCAGGCAGCAAGTCCCTTGGCCAGAGGGGGCCACCACAAGGCCCGTGCAGGTTGACATGCAGGCAGCCCTACAGCTGGACCACATGTGTCCCCAGTGAGACTGTGGACACCAGACAGTGCGCCATGAGGCTACAGCCCCACCTGCAGTAAGCGCCAGGACAAAGGCAGGGCTGGGCTGAGGGGATAGAGAAGAGGGTCACCATGACAGCAGAAGCCAGAGGGCAGGGTAGCTTCTGGGGCACCACGCTCCCTAACAGGCAGCGCACTTCGCCAGGTGTCTGTCCCACTGCTGTTACTTTGTTTACAGAACGAGCTGTGGGACCCTTATCCCTTCATGGCCCGTGAACACCACACCAGCATCTATGGGAGAGGAGGCTCGGAGTCTGCAGGCAGCTATACCACTGCTGGCCTGGGCCCTTGCCTGCACTACACCCCAACTCGCAGGGCTTGCACCCCACCTGCTCTCTGGGAAGGACGCACTGTGCCTGAGTACACTGCCTGGGACTAAGGTCAGCACAGGCAAGTGCGCCAGGGTCTGTCCGCAGGCTGCAGCATGTTGGCCTGGGGACGAGCCCAGAGCCCAGAGCCCAGCAAGGTGCCCAGCTGCCTTCTCACAGTCCTGGTGGCTAAGAAGAGGGGAGGGAGGCTTCAGTCCTCCTGGGTTCTATCCAGTGCTGAAATTCAAATGGAGAGATCAACACAACAAAAAATAAGCCAGGCACAGTGGCATGTACCTGTGATTCCAGCACCTGGGAGGCTGAAACAGGAGGATCATCGTGCGTTGGAGGTCAGCCTGGGATACAGCCCAGTTCTAGACCAGTCTGAACTACATAGGATACCTTGTCTCAAAATGACAATTCAAAAAAAAAAAAAAAAAATCTCAACAGAAAAGAAAGCAGGGCCCGCAAGATAGCTCAATGGTCTAAAGCGCCTGCTTAGGCAAGCTTAGGCAAGCGCAGAGGACTGCTGTTCGATCCCTGACACCACATACCCCACCAGCCCCGCCCTGAGGGCAGGCTGAGCCAGCAAACTAAATAAATAAATCTGTTGTTAAAAAAAAGGGGGGGCTGGGGAGATGGCTCAGTGGAATAAGTGCTTCCCTGGCAAGCGCAAGGGCCTGAGTTCAATCCCCGGTTCCGCCAAAAGAAAAAAAAAAAGAAAAAAGAAAAAGTAAAGAAAAGAAAGCAACCCTGGGGACCTACACACACCTGATCACAAGAACTAGTCTCCTTAACAGCACACAGGTCACTGACACCCACAGGTACACAGTGCAGTCCTGACACCGAACACATAGTGGCTCAGCCCTTGGCACAATTGGCCAGGAACACAGGTGCCACAGAAGGGGCCTGGGCAAAGGACAACCACAGGCATGGACATCAAGAGGGCTTCAGAAATCCATCCTCAGACCAAGGACACCTGTAGCTGTGTCCTATCACTGCAGAGTTCCAGAACAGCCCCTTGTGCTTCAGCAGCCACTGCAGGTAAAGTCAAGAGTGCCAGGTGCCATCAATAACAGCCACAGGCTAGACAGTGGCTGAAACCTCCCAGACTCCTTCTGGCCAGTGTGCTGTCACCCAGCCAGATGGGCCAAAGGCACACATGTATCCACAGCACAGCCCACCTTGAGCCTAGCTCTCAACACTGAGCCTGCAGGGAGCCGCTCTGGCAGGGACCAGGGGTGAGAAGACAGCAATCAGGGACACATGCAAATGAACAAAACCATGTGAGGACAGCAGGAGTGGCAGGGAAGGATGCAACAGCTGTAGCAATGGTTGTCCCCAGATCAAATATGCAGGATGTCTGAGACCAGAGAACCACCCAGACAAGGACTGAGTGACTGTCTTCCTCTCTGTTAATGTGGGGACATCCTTGCCCAATAATTTCTCACCTGTATGTTTTTTTCTTTTCTTTCTTTTTTTTTTTTTTTTTTTTTTGTTGGGGGGGGGGGACCAGGGATTGAACTCAGGACCTTGTGCTTGCCAGGCAAGCACTTATTCTACTGAGCTATCTCCCAAGCCCCTGTATGTTTTTCTGAGATAAAGCTTTACTCCGAAGTTGGAGCTGGCCTTGAATTAATGATGAGCCTCCTGCTTCAGCCTCCCCAAGCACTGGGATTAAAGGCTGGAGTCCCCAGACCCAGTTACCTATTATTACACATTGGGCTGGGCATGGTGCTATAGGCCTGGCACCTTAGCACTTTGGAGGAAGGCAGAGGCAGGACTGTCACCACTTGAAGCCAGTCTGGGTAACAGAATGAGGTCAAAGCCAGCCTAGTGAGACCCTATCTCAAAAAAACAATTTAAATAGTCAAGCAAACACAAAAAAACAACCAAATCACTGGGCACACAGTTCAAGGCCACCCTGAGCTATACAGCGAGATCTTGTTTTAAAATGCCAGGAATGCATACAAGCAAATCATCTCTGGCTCCAGTGTTCATTCCCAACAAGTTTTAAGGATACAGGGGAGTAGTTCCACACACAGTGGGGTGAGTGGCCCTCAGAGTCCGAGAGAGGCTGTGCTGTGCGTGGCATTTCTTAGCACTTCCTCTGGGCAGAGGAAGCTACAGGGAGTGTTGCCAACACTGGAGGAAGTGGCAGTGCCCAGAGTCAGGTGTATCCCCAGCCAGAGGGCATACCCTGGAGGGCTGGTCAGCAGGAGCACAGGTGACCATCGTCTGCCCTCCCTGGGTCCACCTGGAGATGCTGGGAACAGTGTGGAGCCACCAGGGCAGGACAGGCTGTGTCCTGCCCTTGATGCTGCTGGAGGCTTCTGATGGGGGAGGGGGAGAGGAAGGATGGAGCAGGGAGGAAGCAGAGGAAAGGCCTGGGGAGGGCAGGTGGGGAGGGCACAGAGTGCTTGGCCTCCTGGACCCAGAACACAATGTCTCGGGCAGTTTCCAGGTACTCCCTGTCACACTGGACCTGGACCTGCCCACATGTGACGTGTCATGGCCCCCAAGGCCACAGCAAAACTGACAGCAGAGGGAGGAGGCCACCAAAACACAAGCCGCCCACTGGGAACTTCCCTCAGCCAGGGCCGGTCCCGTGGCCCCAGTAAACAGGTTTCAAAACCATTAGTCAGCACTTCGCCGGCAAGCCGCGCCTCGGTCCCGAAGCTAGGCACCCGGGGCCCTCACCCCGCTCCACTGCCCTGGGGCCCCGCAGGGGTGTCGCCGCGAGCCCTGGGCTGCGGGCCGGCCTGCTGGGGCCCGCCAGCCCGAGGTGGCCCCAGTGCGGCGCTAGGAGCCCGGCGGGCCCAGCAGGCCGGCCAGCGCGGAACCTCCGGCGGCCCTCCCCCTCCCGCGCTGACGCAGGGAGGCCCGGGCCAATGCCGAGCCCCTGGAACACTGTCAACAAACAAGCCGCCGGCCAGACAGGTGGGCCTGCCTGGGACGCCAAACTCAGCCCGGGCCCCTGGGCAGCCACGAGGGGGCTGCGGGGGACAGGGGCACCCACGCAGTGGGCGCCGCGGTGCTGAGGTCCACTCTCCTTGCCAGCAAGCGGCCAGGCAAGCTGGGGTCCGACCAACACCTCGGGGAGCCAGACCAAACTGGGCGGAAGTCCCCAGGGCGCCGACGGCCTCAGGGCTTCACACCGGGGCGCCGGCTCCGCAGGGCACCCAGCGACACTGGCTGGGGCCGCCAGAACTCTCCACGGGTCAGAAGCTGGCAGGGGTCAGGCTGGGTGACACCGCCCCTCCCCCACCCCGCCGCAGCAGCCGGAGGCCTCACCTGGAAGTCGTACAGCGCCACGATGTTCTCGTGCTTCAGCTCCTAGGACGGAACCCCAACATCTCACCAGCCAGGTGGGGACTCGCCGGCTGCCCTCCCCTGCCCGCTGCGGTGGCGCCTCACCTTGAGAATCTTGATCTCCTTGCCCAGCAGCGTCTGGGACTTGGCCAGGTTCTTCTTATTAATACACTTGACCGCGACCTCCAGGTCATGTTTCTGAAAACCAAGAGTGGCTTTTCAAGGCTGGGATCATGCAGAGACCCCTGTCCCGGCTCAGGTACGGCGTCGAGTGTGAGCCCAGAGGCAGCCCAGGCAAAACTCTCAAGCGGGGCCGGGATCCCCGGGAACAGAGGGTCCCGAGGCAGATTTCTGGGGCTGGGCTCCCCGAGCGGAATGCCAGACTAGGTCTCCTGGGGTGGCGGGGTCTTTAAAGTTAGGGTTCCCGAGGGCAGGATCCAGGGTTAGTGAGCGCGCACCCACCTCGCGGTGGCGACCCTTGAAGACCACCGCGAAGGCGCCGTGGCCGATTAGGTCCTTGCGGGAGAACTCGAAGCGGCCCACGGTCTCCACGCCGCCGCGGCCCGGGTCCATGGCGCGGGCTGGCCGGGGGCGCGGGCCGAGGATCGGCGGGCCGGGCGCGGGACTCAGGCGGAGGCGCGGACTGCGGGCGGGCCGGGCGCGCGGGTCCGGGGGCGCGGACGCATCGCCGGGGCCGCGCGCCCCATCGGGCAGGCCCGGGCCGGGTCCCAGCCCCGCGGGCCGGAGGGAGGGCCGGACGCGACGCTCTCTGGATAGGCCGGCGCGCGGACGGACAGGCGGAGCCGGCTGCGGCCGCCGCTGCCGCTGCGCTACCGCTCCCACTTGGCTCCGGCTTTGACTCGGCCGGACTCCTGCTCTGACGAGACTCCGACTGTAGCTACGGCTCGCGAACCGGCGGGGGAAACAAAAGAGCCACGGCAGCGGAGCGACGGAGCCCGAGACGCCGGCGCAGCCGCACTGCGTGGGGGCGGGCCTTGGGCGGGTGTAAAGGGCCCCGCGCTGGGGCGGGGCGGGGACTCGCGACGCGACCCAGCGAGCGCAGAGGCTGGCGGAGGGGGCGGGGCCTCGAGGACCGGGCCGCTGAGTGGTGGGCTGGCGGTGGGGCGGGGCCTCGAGGACGGGGCCGCTGAGTGG